CGGGCCATTGCAAAGGGCATCGAGGCTGCCATGCGGAAGCGCGAACTTCTGTCCTCAGGCCCTCCTCAGCCCGCTCAGACTGGCCCTCCCCCGCCAAAGCATGTGCGCCACCCCTCTCGAGTGTTCCGTGGTCAGTGAGGCCTCTGCCCTTGAGGACCCTGGCCAGGATCTCCTTCAGATGTCTGATGATGAGGACCTCCCTTCCGATGCCCCGGCCTTTTCGGGCCTTTTCAAGCCCAGCCTATTCAAATCAATCCTACAAAAGGTGAAGGTGGCTACCGGAGAAGAGGTTAAACCCACGCCAGCTCCAGCCCCTCCAGGGGCTGCTCTGGTGAATCCCAATGCAGCCATGTTTAAGATTCCTCCTTCCCACCAGCAGTTGGTGCCAATTCCCGAACTTTTCCTTGACCTTATACAACGTCAGTGGAGTCAACCAGCCACTTCATCCTCCCCCAGTGGGGTGGATAAACAGCTGTATACAATGGAGCCCGCCCTGGAGGACCTCTTGGTCCTGCCAGAAGTGGACCCTCCTATCACGGCTCTCACCTCTAACACGCCCCTCCCCGCGGACCTTTTAGAAGGGCTCAAAGTGGAGGACAAAAAGGCGAAGAAGGCCTGCCACAAGACCCATCTTGCGGCGGCCTGGGCCATTAGAGCGGCCTCCTCCGACTCATTCTTTAATAGAGCTGTTGTGATCTGGCTGCAGGAACTCCAATGCAAACTCCCGGTTGATGATGCTCGTCTTCACCAGGACGTGGCTAAGACGGTTGCAGTGGCCCAGTATGCCGCCTTGCTTAATGCCACCAAATTTGCGTCCAGGGCCCTAGCGTCGAATGTCACCTCCTGACACCTCATTTGGCTCCGCCACTGGCAGGCGGACCAAAAACACAAATGGAAGCTGGCCACGGTGCCCTTCAAGGGTGCCAAGCTGTTCGGGGAGGTGTTGGACCCCTTCCCCATAGAGTCCAAGGACAAGAGGAAGGTCTTGCCCTCTACTTCCAAAAAGCAGGACCGAAAATCCTCCCACTACCGTAGAAGGCAGTCCTTTCGTGCCTCCGAGCCCTCCACATCTGCTGCCTTTAATCCTTCCAACAGCACTGGAGGTTCCTACGCTTCTTCTATGCTGGCCGACACTTTCAATATGGGGCCCTTCCATTCGGCCTGTCGTCGGCTCCCAGGACCTTCACAAAGGTCCTGGTGGTAGTGGCTGCCTGCCTCCGGCGCAGGCCCATATGGCTCCAGTGGTAGCTGGACGACATCATCATTCAGTCGTCCAGGCCACAGGCCATGCAGGCCACCTACGCATCACCATGAGGACCCTCAGAAACCACTGCTTCTCTCTCAATTTGGAGAAAAGCCACCTTACTCTTTCCACCAGAATCAACCACCTGGGGGCGGTGATAGATTCCTCTTCATGCAGGGTGTTCCTATCCCAAGACAGGGTAGAGGCTCTAAGGTCCTTGA